GAAGCTAGAACACGAACTCTGGAACCTTAAGATGAAAGGTTCCAACATAGCCACTTATACATCAAGATTCGATGACTTGGCATTACTCTGTCCGGGAATGGTTACCCCGGAGAGTAAAAAGATCGAGAGATTCATCTGGGGATTGACCCAGCCAACCAAGGGGAATGTCTTGGTTGCGAAGCCAGACACCTACGACATCGCTAAATGTCTTGCGAAAATCCTGATCGATCACGAAGACAACTCTGATGAGGAAGCTACCACTCCTGAGCCAGACACAAGTGGAGGCGGAAGCAAAAAGAAATCTTGGAACAAGCGGAAGGCCCCGAGTATGCAAGGGTCTTCTAAGAAACAGCAAACGATAGCAGTCCATGCTGCTACTGCCCCTGTTGCTATCTCAGCTGTTGGATCCACGACCCAAACTCCTATCAGTGGATACACTGGTACCCTTCCTTGGTGTGGTAAGTGCAACTACCATCACCTCATTCCTGGTCCATGTCGCGAAAGGATCTGTGACAACTGTGGCAAGAAGGGCCATCTTGCTCGAACCTGCAGAAAACCAGCCAAATCAACGAACCAATCATCCGGAGCGTGAATCAGTCCAGCCTGCTACAATTGTGGTGAAGCAGGGCACTTCAAAAGGAATTGCCCCAAAGCAGCTACAACCACCGATCCCTCTGTCGCCGCAGGTATACTTCTCTTTGATAATTCTTATACCTGCAGCTCTTTTCGATTCCAGTACAAAGAGGGAAACCTGTTATCTATCTATTCGAACATTTTTCTAAGCTCAACCCTTCGTATGTGATTGAAAGGTGTATCATCGAGACGACTAACCAGTGAGATAGAGAACACTAACTTCGTACCTATAGATTATATTCTCAATCCAGAGAATTATTCTGTTCCATTCGATTAAATGGGAAAATTTTCGCGAAAATACTTTGATGCTATGATTGACATGAAATGACCGAGTCTCGTTCATGTTGTTATCTTTAGTTTTGAAAGGGTCGCTCGTCTAGATCTTTTCCCGACCCGGTTCTCGTGACCTTCGGCATCAAACCTTCGTATCATTCCATGCTTTAAAACTCAAAAGTTTTTCCCGATATGAATTACCACACATCCCTCGTTTCTGTGATCATTGAGAAACGGGAAGTTAACAGCTCTTTCTTCTAAATGTCTATCCCGAAGGATTCCCGGGATTTTCATTCGAACGTCTAAGTTTAGTCCCACATCAGACCTTTCAAAATCTTCGTAGAAATCGATTATGCAATCTCAGATTTCGGATGCCTTCAGAGCTTGGTAACATCTATCCAGTACATCACGTCTCGAATCCATAGAAACATCTACCCAACGAGACCCTAGTGATTCCTTTGAGGAACCCGAAGTCGTCTAGGGTTGGAACTTCCATGAGAAAACCGATTGATATCATAGATTGATAGAGAGTCAAGGTACGAAACAAAGACACGTCCCGATAGTGAGAATTCACTAGAACGCCCAGTAGAGACCTGATTCCACTTGAGAAAGTGAAGATCCGAGGTAACAAATCCATTCGTGTCCCATTCCAAAATCATGATCTATACCTTATTCTTTGAATTTCGGGACAAAATTCCCTCTAACGGGGGGATAATGTAACAACCCGAAGTTGTTCATCGCTAAAACCCGTTCTACCCGAAAAATTCGCCGTTATCAAGTACGTTCCATGTTCACTTTGGGTTAAATTATTTAAATTTATATGTTTATTATAATTTAATGAGTGTCCAAACCCCTTTGGAATTCATGAAATTAACCCAAAAGTGTTTATTTTAAAAAAGTTAGAAACGTTCCCGCCGGGTTACGGTAACTTAATCGGGTGCGACCTAAAGCCCTGTTTAATGTCAGTATCGGGTAGAATTCCACCGTTTCCAAGTTTTAGGACCTATATAAACGTGTTTAAGAACCCATTTGAAGCTTTTTCTTCCTCTCTCTACTCTCTCTCTAACCTCTCTCCTAAATCCAAGTTTAAAGGTCCAAAACTCAAATTTAAGGCCTCAAATCTCTAAGGTACTTTCCCTAGCTTGTTATGTAACCTCCCTAGCCTTCAAATTCGAGTTCAACACATGGATTACGACCAAATTCATGAGTTTACGGCCATGGAATCACCTTGGGCCGTAAACTCATATAATATGGGTTTTGGAGCACAAAAACCCTTCCTAAACACAATTGGACCTTAGATATGGCTAGATGGCTTCATGGAATGGACTTATAACATTTAAAACATGGATTTTGAGACATTTGAAGGAGTTTACGGCCAAGGCACATGCTTGGGCTGTAAACTCATGTATAAGGGGTTTTCATGACCTTAAACCCTTCCAAAACCTCAACAAGACCTGGATATGACTTCTAGAATAAGTGTTTTAGCCTTGGAACACTTTAAACATGATTTTTGGGGGACTTATATGAGTTTACGGCCAAGACTTGTTCTTGGGCCGTAAACTCCATGAATCATGGTGCAAATTCATTTCTAAGGTGTTAGAAAGCCATCCAACACCACCAAAAGCCTTGGAATAAATCATAGGACCAACCAAAAATAGTTTAAGGGCCTTAAAAACATCAAAAACCCTTCATTTAAGAGTTTACGGAAATAGAAGATGCCCCATCGCCATAAACTCCAAAAACCCCTCATAGGTCCCATAAAAATTCAAGAAAGGCCTTGAAACAATTTTAGCAATCACATGTGATTAGTTTAGAAGCCAAAAACACAACTTTTCATGGGTTTATAGGAGTTTACGGCCATGAGACCATGCTAGGCCATAAACTCCCTAAAATGTGTCATTTTGGTGTTTAAAATTTATTCCAAACCCTTAAACCAAACCTAGAAATTGTCCCCTAAGTGTTTGAAGTCCAAATTGCACCATAAACCACCCACCATGAGTTTACGGCCGTAAACTCATGGGGAATGGGTGTTTAGGCCGTAAACTCCATTTAGAAGTTTACTCTTGGGAAGTAAACTCATTTCCTAAGTCCCTCGCATCATTACATGTCCTTAAACGCCACCCGGGTCCCTCCAAACACTTGTATCGGGGTGTTTTCGCGACTAGAAGTAATTGTCCCTAACAAATAATCAATCTAAGTCCTAATTAGATACAAATGTGTATCTTTACATTATACTTAGGAACCTCGTGCGTTTGCAAGCCCCGGACCAAAGTTTAGCACCCAAAATCGTCACATTTCTCGTCCGGTGAGTTCATACCCCTACGCCCTTTTCCGTGTTTTTCAATGTTTTCAGGGGCCGGGGGGAATACAAGCAAACTTTAACTGTTTTCAAATCATAATATTGATATGTTTCAAATATATCTGACAAACTTATAAACTCTTTTACTCCTTATGTATTATGTTGAGCATAAGGAATGATTTATCAATTACAACTAAATGTATTTTAGTTAAGAAAATAACAAAACTAATCAAATTATTATGGGAATAATTTGGGTTTCTTTACTATTCGTTTTATCATGTACTGATATCTATATAAAGTTATTAGATAAACTATGTCCGATTCAGTTTATCTCCGTATCATTTGAATGTATTGTCAGATAGTTTCATTGTATGTATCTATATTCGCTGTATTACATTTCATAATCTTCTGTATGTTGATATCGTATGAGAACCCATGTGAATAGCTTAGTACTAGTTTGTGAGATAGTCACTACCCTTTATGGATGATCAGTAAATCCTCCCCGGAAGTGTAACCAGAGTCTCCTGGAGGGAGAGCGAGGAATTTGTGAATAGATCTATTCGGGACTGACAATCCCACACCTTAACTGCTAGCTACAGTTAGGCGGGCACGCCTGGGGTGACAAATTTCTGGATATCGTTTCGACGTCTGACAAACGTCAAGGAGGTCTCGTTGTCGTATTAGCATGGTTACCCGACTCACAACATGTATTAATATAAGTTTATTCACAGTATCGTTTTGACTTTGTTTCGATTCCGTATCTACTTTTTATACGGTATCTATAACTTGTACGAAATGTTTGCCCCATGATTTTTAACTACATCTTATACGGGATAGTAATCCCATGGTTTTGAATCTATAACTATTACAGGATAGTAATCCCATGGTCTAAATCTATATCTTGTCCGGGATAGTGATCCCATGGTTTTCAATCTATATTTATTTCGGGATAGTAATCCTATGAATTTCAATATATATCAAGTATGGGATGATAATCCCATGGTCTAAATCTATATTTTGTCCGGGATAATAATCCCATGGTTCCCAGTCTATATTTTCATATATATCAAATTATCTTGTGTCTAGTCCGGGATGGTAGTCCCATGATCTTAAATCTGTATTTTCATATGTGTCAAACTATCTTATATCTCTTTCGGGATAGTGATCCCAAGATTTTCAATATATAGTTTTGTGTATTAAACTATACTTTGTGATATACAACTGGTCTTACAATTAGGAAAATATGGGATTTTCCTGGGGTAAAATACAACACGTAATCGAATTGGTAACAAATGATAACTAAACAAACTTTACATAAGAAAATATGGGATTTTCTTGGATAACAAACCTTTTCGGAAAACTAAAGGAAACCGATACATTTTCATAAAACAAAACCGCTTATGAACTCACCAGCTTTATGCTGATTTTCAAACCGCTTGTATTCTCAGGTCCAAGTTAGACAGGTACCCGGTGATATCTTTTGGTGAAGACGGAGTGCTCAGAAGACTCATCTCAACTTTTGTTGATATGATGCATATGTATATCTTGTATAACTTTACTTTTGAAACAAATGTAAACTTTCATATATATATATGTAATGTAATGGTGGTTTACTGTGATTACTATGTACATTGGATTTGATACACAACGTGGAGTCCACCCCGGAAATGTTTCCGCCTTTGATTTTCGGGGTGTGACATCAAGGATCTGCCATATGGAATGAGCGGTGGATTTTTTCTTGACTATGAATGTGAGGAGAGGCTGAGTGAGAGTGGAATAGATCCATGACTTGACAATGGAGTTAAGGCTATACCATTCTTCTTCCTTATCAGACGTTGGACGTGAAGTCCCGTTGAGAAATCCAAGCACCCGATATCCCCTGCAGTGAGTTTCAAACAATTCGCGCCAGGCATCATAGTTTAATTCATTGAAGTCGAGAATAATAGGAACATGAGTTTTGATGTTAATAACACCATATGGCTTCTGATTGGTGGAGGTTTTGGAGCCTGAGGATTCATCACCAGCCATGGCTGATTATAAAGAGTGTAGATGCAGAGAGAGGTGAAGAACTAAGAAGAAAAGAGAACATGGGAGAGTAGACGGTTTATCGACGACATAATTGGTGCACATCAACAGGAGGTTCGTGAAGAGGAAACTAGGGTAGATAGGTTTTTCTCTGATACCATATTGGACGATATCTTTGCTCAAAGAAGAAGAATTATAATAACAATGATTAAATACAAGATTTCATGGGCCCCATGGGCTAGGTAACTGTTGGGCTAAATACAAATACACACTATCTAAATGTACAATACAATAATACATTAATAGTATATTATATTGATAAGTCACAAATTATTCCATTTATGATAATGCTTACAACTAAAAGCATATTTAAGTTAATAAATTAAGTATATTGTATGGAAATATGAAAAGTTTGGAGTTTCAAATGAATGTAGTGAAAGAGAAAATGTTTCCTTTATAATATAGTATGATGATTTCTCATAATATTTTAATGTACTAGTTACAATAAATTTAGTAATAAATGTATATCAATTTTATTAATAAACTTATCTTTTAATTTCTAAATTTTTAAAATTAAAGCTCATTAGTTTTTTTTTTTATTATTTAAATTATTTGTTTAAATTTAAATGATAAAAACATCTGCATTATAATAATTCATTATTTTTCTTATTTTCTTATAAATTCGAAGTTTTCAAATATTTTGACATTTATATTTAACTTTTTTTTAAAATTAACCCATGTAGTACATAGGTATCACAACTAGTGTTGTAATAGAAAATAATGGAAGCATGTTGCTATTTATTATATTAACACATTTGATGTGCCATTTGCAATGGTTTTTTGAAAACAACTAGGAAGAATTGAATAGTGTGATGTGATAAATAGTAACACTTATTACTCAGTTTCATTTATAAAAAGTAAAACAAAGAAATTTAACAATTCAGCAACATACTTTACAAAAGAGTACCATTTAACGCGAGAATCTTCTCTGGTTTATAAATTAAATTTTAAAATGCTGGTGATTTCCTCTTGTAAGTACTAGGAAAATGACGATGAGGTAGTTGAACTGTTTTCGTATCATGATGTTATGGGTACACATCATAGCTTTATATAGCTCTATATCTCATGTATTTAAGTATTGCGGACCTTTTCTCTATACGATATTCATCATTTGGGCATACCATTCTCATATTACGTCCACCAAAAATATTCTGAACTAACACAATTCGCTTAACATTTTTCAGTTAAGCTTGGATTAGGTTTAGCCAAAGTCAAACTAGATATCCCATTAATATTTAAAAAATATTACATTTCACACCATATATAGAAAAAGTGAGCTAGTGGCCATGATACATTAACCACCATGCAATATCTCTTTTTTGTTGCAAAATGATGCAACTTCTACTTGCAATTCTTTGTGCTACCACCAACATTAGATCAATTTTCTCTGCAAAAGTCTTTCTATACAGTATTTTCTTTTATATTTTACGTAAAAATAACTTCTTTTATTTTATCACTCTAATTGTTTCGTCAGCCAAAAGTATCATTATCCATTGCTCCAAAACTTGCCCTTTATAAAGCAATCAAAGGATCTTTGGCTTTTGGAGAGATCTTCGCAATCAATATGGCCCTTGGAATCCAAAAGTGAAGCAAAACAAATTGGCTTTTGGGATTTTATAAGAAGAATAGGCTCCTGGGCTATACACCATAGAAGCTTGGTTAGTGGAGATAGAGAGATGGCTAGGGAACGATGGAATAACACCAGTGGGATCCATGGGCTTGATTCAATACTTGGTTTTTGGGCAGGTGTAATGATGTTTGCACTACTCCTTTTTTCAGTCATAATCTTTTCATGTGCTGAAGGAGCGGAATCAAAAGACAAAAATGATGGCGGAGGAGACACCACGGCCTATGGTGGTAGTGAATGTGTTGCGGCGTGTGGTGCAGGATGCGGTGGCTAGCTGGAAGTCCATTTGATCATAATTGAGTAGTGCCAACGACTGAATGAAAGGTCTTGCTAAATGTTTGTTTGCGATTGACTTAATTAAATCTACTTTCATTATTTTTGAACTTCGGTTAGCTATTGGAAATGATGATTCAGGTAAGGGTAAACCTATTACTCATATAATTTTTGATAATTTATTAGATATGTCAGTCGTCACTCGTGAGATGTAAAATTTTAATATAACTTCAAGATTATTATAAAAGAGTGCCAATTATTTTGAGAAGCCCAACTGTATAGTTTAAAGGCAATATTGAAATTTTTATTTCTTAATTCTCTTTTCGTTGAGAGAGATTCCCCTAATGCTGCTACTAACTAAAATTTCCGCATGGCTTCAAACAATCTAACAGAAAAGGAGTAGTCTTTTGTAGGACCAAACCCTTCTCATCTAGTTCTTCAATTTTCAGGCCTTTTAGAACCGTCAGTCCAGTTTCAGGCCAACTCCATCACTTCGTTTTTTTTCGTGAATGGATTTTTATAAAAAAAATAGAAAACATGTTAATATTGCTTACAATTACAAAGTACAAATATAGTTTTGAAAATGAAGTAAATATAATTATTAAATATTTGTTTCTTCAATCTTTAGAATATATACAATACGCGAAACTTATGTATTACATTGATTTATTTAAAAAAAAATAATAAATATGAAATTCTAAAAATTTGAAGTTTGAATTTATAAAAAAAAGTCAGAAAAATATTGTGTTATTACAATTAAAGTGTGTTTTTTTCTTTAAAATTTAAACAAATAATTTAGATAAATAAACAAAATAAACTAATGAGATTTTAATTTAGTAATTTTGTAATTAGAAGAAAAGATCATTAATGAAATTAATATGCATTTATTATTACATTGAAATTTAATAAAGTGAAAAAAAAAAAAAAAAAAAAAAAAAAAAAAAAAAAAAAAAAAACTATAAAATATCATGTTGAAAAAATAAAATGAAAATAATAAGAAAAAGTCATTTATTAGGGAACATTCAATCTTTAATCATTCATGTTTTATATTTATTTGTCCTTAATAATTAATAATTGTAAGTAAATTAAAACCAACATTATTGATTTGCTATTCCTTGGGATTTATTTGAATATTATTTTAAGAATCACAGACATTTTACAACTCTATACCTCACAACAAAATCCTATTCTACTCTCTTTACAAATCACTCAAAATGGAAACATACGAAGAATAGAATACGTATGAACCCTAAAACTAATAGAAACCCCTAATCGTAAACGAGAGAAAGAGAGAGTATCACTATGTGTGTAAAGAGTTTCTTGGCGTATGAGCCATCCAGCAGCATCCTCCATATAAATACCCGAGTCAAGGGGTCAACTAACATGGATCAAAAGATTTGAGTGTCTATTCCATTGTCTTTGAAGAAAATGAGCTGCAACCCACCACAATTACAAGATTTACACTTAATACCCTTTAAAGATACTTACTTTAATATTAGTCCCAAAGAACTTACAAATAAACCCCTACAATATTAAAACATACACAAACATATCCAATGCACTAATACAAATAATTTTAAGTTTAAAACACTAAATATTGAATTATTTCAATGCCACCACTCAAACCTAACAAACGAATAGTATTATTCTTTATTAAATATATCTATCAAATCAAATCTATTTGTAAGAGAAAATCATGTTGTGAGAAAACTAATGACTTGGTCAACAAATCTGCATTTTGATATAAGAGTTAATCTTTATAATTTTTAAAATACCATTTAATACTTTTTCACGAACAAAAGGAACATCTACTTCAAAGAGTTTTATTAATTTGTGAAACACATCATTTAACACCAATTTGATAACATATTTGTTGTCATAAAAAAAACATTAACATGGGTTAACTTTTTAATTCTAAGTCACATAATGCCATTAAAATCCAAATGATTTCACATGTAATAGAACCAAGAGTCGTATATTCAGACTCAGTGAAAGAATTAGATAAATTTACTATTTCTTGCTCTTCCACAAAACTATTGAATTACCAATATAAATAAGATAAGCAGTAACAAACCATCTTGAACAAAGACAATTTGCCATTTCAACATCCACAAATCCATTTAACTCAAAAGTATTAGATTTTGTTATAGCAACTCCTCTACTAAGACTACCTTTACGATACCTTATTAATCTAAAGGCAACATTTAGATGATATTTTTTTAGGTTTGTGCATGAAGTGACTTAAATTTTGAAATGAATAACAAATATATGGTATGGTTCTAGTTAAATAAATCCATATTCCAAACATTTTTTGAAATTTGGTTATATTATCAAGAAAATCATCTTTATCACAATCACAAATGAGAACAAAATTTGCTTTTAAAGGAGTTTTACAACCCAACACGTAGATGTTGACTGGGAAAACCATCTTTCTTCATCATTCATGGCCTTTATATAATTTGGATTAGAAGATGCTTCTTCATAATTCATTGGTTCTATAGTTTTGTTTATGTTTCAAACAAAACATTTATCTCATTATTTAGAATATAGTAATTAACAGTTTTTTCAATCCCCTATTTATCTTTTCCTTCAACAACATAATCATTAAACTTAATAGGCATTCAAGTTTCTCTCCTAGACCTAGAGGACCCCAAAGAATTACTTAAGTAATTAAAGAATCATACTGATTACCTCCTTCATAAAAAAAATTAATCAAATATACTAGGCATTGCCTCACCATTTGGAGGCATATGTGCCTCATCAGGTTGCTGACTTGACTAGTAACAGTCTCACCCAAGGATTGAGTTGCACTAAAACCATCGAAATGGTGGTTAATACTCCAGTCATCAAGATTTATAGTATCATTCATATCTTTAGATGTATTTAAATCATCATAGGAAAAAGAGTCATGTGTATTACAAATATCAGGTATTTTATCCACAGTTGTTACAACACAAAAGGAAAAATATATTCATAAAACTGCACATACGTAGAAATAAAAACAACATTAGAATTAAGACTTAACAATTTATAATCTTTTTCTCTGAGGAATAACCATATGGAACACATTTTTCAGCCCTTTCAGAAAACTTATCAATTCTATTAAATTTAGTTGCAAAACATAAACTTTCAAAAACTCATAGAAATTCATATGGAGACAATCATTTTAATACATAAGTTGCCATTCTATTAATCAAAAAACAGAAGTACGAATTGATTATCCTAATATTTATTAGGAAGACCAAACTGGAAGTGTAAAGACCTAGCAACATTAAAAATATGTCTATGTTTCCACTCCATGAAACCATTTTATTTTGGACTGTAAACACAAGATGTTTGATGAAAAAATCCATTTGGTATAAAGAAAGAATTCATTTGATTAAGGGTGTGTATAAAACCACACAAACCACCTGCACCGCACTGCATAATGTGATTTCCAATGTCCGCGGTGTGGTTTGTAGTTTGTAGTTTTTGTAAACCATAAAATGTGTTACGGTTTGCGGTTTATGATTACTTAACTTAGCAATGTGGTGTGGTGCAGTTTTAACCCTAAACCTCATACTTAAACAATCATGATTGTAATCTTTAACTAGAACATATGTTAGTGTATAACTTCCTTTTTAAGACTAGGTATGACATTCGCGTATTATACGAGTTTACTAAAAAAAGTTTAATATAAAATTATAAGCAAGGTTATCAAGATCGGGATCCTATGTAAGATCATTTTTGGGTTTGCATCGGGATCGGAATCCTACAATCATACCTACTATCCTACCCCAAACACGATTTGTTAACGATCCAGTTCGTTTTTCATATCTAGGTTCGTAGGATCGTACGATCCTATGATCATGATTGTGATTTTGACAACCATGGTTATAAGCATTAAATATCTTATTAAAGTAATATTTTCGCATATATGCAACCAACATAATCAATAAATGATGTATTTAAATATAGGACAATAGATTATCTATTGCACACCCCGAACCAGAATGGCGGAAACATCTGAGAGTAGATGACTTCATGAATAATATCATAACAAAATGAAGGATAGTGATCAAAGCCATACAACCATCATAACTATAAGAAGTTTACATATTCTTTGTTTCAATACCAATTACATTATTAAAAAAGTAAATAGTGTGACGCCGTAGCGTCCCATCCTCAAAATCTTATGGTTACCTACTTAACGAGACCCTAAGAATACAAGAAGGTTTTGAAAAAGTGTCAACAATTAAGTTGGTGATTTTATAAGAGTTTTGTACGAGAAAAATATGTAGCTTTTTCCTTGTAAAATGGTAGTGTATGCTTCTAGAAAATACAATATTTTTCTTAAAAATGAGATGTAGTTTTAAATCCCTATGACCAAAAATGTGTAAGTATTGTTGTACTTGAAAATAGTATTATGTAGTTTTATTATTATATAAAACCATTTGAATGTATGTTAGCCCTGTACACCAAATGTAGTGTTAATACCATATGTGAAGTATTACAACCATGCTAAAACTAGTTGGCATGTTGCGACGTTCTTCAGGCGTCAAAATGTTAGACAACTGTCACCCCAGACCTGCCGGTCTAACTGTAGCTAACAACTTAGGTGCAGGATTGTTAGTCCCGTATAGATCTATACACAAGTGTCACGCTCTCTTACCGAGATTCTAGATGTAATTCAAGACTTTATTGTGTACTTTGGTAGGTATGGTGGAGATTATGTCTCACAAAATTGTATCAACATGTTTACGTATGGTGTAATGAAAACCCTTATGAAAGTGGAAATATTGTCTTTCATATTAAATACATAGTGTAAAATAGTTATACCCTTACATACTTATTTGTATTGTATCCCAAAATGGAAAAATAGTGGCAATGACCATAAAGTATACCTATTATAGTTTATTATAAATATTTTGTTGTGTCCATGTGTGTATGTGTATATATATATATATATATATATATATAATATATATAATATATAATATATATATATATATATATAGTCAAGATCAAATAAGAAGGAAATTTTTGGTAGGAAGGTAAGAAGTTTTTTTTTCTACATTTTTTTTCGCGAACAAACAAAATTAATCATTAGATGATTCATTTGTAAGATGATTCATAAGAAAAAATTCTCAAAAAAACATCTCGATGATTCATTTATACAATGATTTTGTTGTTATTCACTAAAATTATCATAAAAATGATTTTTTTTCTTAATTTACTTAAAAATGAATCATAAAGATGTTTTTTTAAGAATTTTTTGTTGTGAATCATATTACAAATAAATCATCTAGTGATTCATTTAGTCAAAAAAATATGTAAAAAAATAACTCTTTACCTTCCTACCAAAAAAAAATTCTTACCGGATCTATATATATATATATATATATATATATATATATATATTATATATATATATATATATATATATATATATATAAAACGAGCTTGAATACATAAAACCCAAGAATATTGACAAGGGTTGGAACCAATTAATTATGACGATTAATCGTGCTATGTTATTTTAATTGTTAACTCATCTTTTTAAATCAATATAATGCATATTTTAACCCTATTTTAAAATAATTAAAAGGAAAACAATGTGTTACAACCTTGAACCATTGGTGGTCGACACTCAACTAAAAGAAAAACAAAAGGAGTAGCTTTTGATTGTGTTTGTCTAACAACACCCATTCCAATTCTATGTGAATTCCGATAAAGGTAATCAATCGTAATTAGTGTACTCCGACATCAAATGACCTCTACACTTGAGGCAATTAATTCTTAGGCTGGAGGGAGTGGTGTCACCGAAACCGTATTTTCTTGGTTGCTATATAAGCGTCACGTCATTTTTACCATAAAAGTGTGATTCCTTAACTTTAATTTCTCCCCACCCAATCAACAAACAGTCAAATTATCTACACTCAATTACAAGCCGCGGCCATTTTTTGTCGCACTGCAGTTTGAACCGCACCCAGGGGCGGTGTTCGCTGCTTATGTGGCGAAACCGCACTCCCTGGAACCGCACCACACCCTCCAGCCTTATACCATATGGTTGTGTTGTTGTTGATCATGTAACTTATAAATAGATGTAGTTGTAGAGATTAAAATTTTAAATCTATATTTTAATTCTTAGAATTAATTTTGAATCAACTAATCTCAACGCTTCACTCCTTAAAGGCCACGTTTTTAAAAAAAAATTCCCTAGAATTGCATTCTCCTAAGCTCAACATTTTGTTTGTTTCCCTTTACTTTTTGACAACTATCGTATTTATCTTCATATTTTCTTTTTGTATTTCACCCTTCTTGCTTTCAACATTCTTGCTCATAGTTTTTTTCTGTGAGGAGGGACATCTAAAACCAAGACACACAAATAAGCAAAATAAGTTAGCTCGCGATTCCCTCAAATTTTCAAGGTGCGTAGGTAGCAAGTAACAAGTAGTAAGATCCAATTGGTTCCTTATTTAATGTATATTATATTCGAATCTAAAAATATTTTTTTTCATATAACAAGCATTTTTATTTTCCAAAATCGAGTAAACAACCACATACAATATAACTTCCAACTTAATTACATTTTGTTGAGTTCAACAATCTAGTTCATATTCTAAAAAGTTTTATAATTTTTTGCTTTTTAAAAACCACAATCCGGACGCATGAGAATTATATGAGAGAATAATTACCGACCATTACCATTATCATCCGATTAGAGTGATTGGTATTTATACTTGTTGTATTTCAAAGTTAATAACAAACAATTTGATTATTAGTATTGTGAACTAATATCAAACCGTTAGAAGCAAATTATTTGTCGATTCAACACTAATAATAAATTCAATTATTACTACTTAATTACCAAGTTTAGTCCAAAAATAATACTGAACATTTGCGATATTATAAGAAATGTCGAAGACAACTGTCCTATCATTGGACCAAGTAAAACACACACAACAAAAATAATAATAATAAATAAAATAAAGAGCCTAAAGATTACAGATATTGTAACTACACATAATGACTCATGTATTCAAAAGTTTTTATACTCTAGTGGACGTAAGTCATATAATAAAACCCCAAGATTTAATTTAGCATTCATTCCAATAGCAATAGAAAAAACAATTGCATAGGGAGAAAGGAGAGAGCAATAGAAAAACAGATAAATGCAAAAAGGTAATACTCAAAAATCATGAAGAAAGTTGCATAAAAAAGGAGAAAGGAGAGAGCAATATAAAACCAATAAATGTAAAGCAAATACTCGAATGTGATTTTGAGAACCTGGCATCCTCTCTTCAAATAGCCGAGTGTGTGAGCTTCTTCTCGATCACCTTTCACTAACCCTTCTAAATGCTTAAGGCTAAGAAAGGTTTAGGGTGCGTTTAGTTACGGAAAATTTATCGTTTTTCGTAAAAAAAAAATATCAAGAAAAATGATAATTTTGAAAATGCATTTAGTTCGTTTATATTTCTAAATTTTTAACGGAAAATGAAAATTCTATGTTTTCTAAAATTACAAAGAAATTGTAAATTTTTGGAAAACAGATAATCATTGTTTTTTACATTTTGCTAATTCCAAAAATTTTCTAAAATATAAACACACACACATCTTCACCCCATCCACCTCTACCTACCCCCACCTTAACACCCTAACCCCCCCCCCACCCCCACCCACGCACACCCCTACAAACACACGCAAACACACACACACCCATCCCTACCCACGCACACCCATCCTCATCCCATCCCCACCCACGCACACACACGGAACACACAAACCCATACCTAACCCCACCCCACAAACACACATACATACACATACACACACACCCAACCCACCATGTCCCCACCCCCACCCTTACAAACACACACACACACCACACACAAACCCACACCTTCCTTCACCCCCACAAGCACACACACATACAAACACATGCGCACACACACAAACCCACACCTTCCCCCACACCCACACCTACCCACCCAACACCACTACCATAATCAACCGACCTACTATGACCATCACCACCACGACCACTACCTCATCACTAGCACCACCACCACCACCACCACAACTGTCGTCACCATCACCACCACTGCCACAATTGTCGCGGCTGCCACCACTGCATGTCATCACCACCACCGACGCCGCTCTCACCCACACCTTACCACTGCTACCGCTACCGTTTTCTAAAAATGAAAACCGATAGAAAAATAAACATCTGAACATGTTTTCTAATTTTCTAAAACTGAAATGAAAAATGTATAACTTTAACTAAACGCGTTTTTAAAATTTTCCAATGAAAACGAAAACTGAAAAGAGAAAACGAAAAACTGAAAATGAAAACTGTTTTTCCATAACTAAACACAACCTTGGGTTACGTTTGGTTGTGAAAATAATTCTCAGTCTTCTAGGATAATTTTTCAAGAAAAATGCAAATTTTGAAAACGTGTTTGGTTCGTTCAGTTTTCCAAATTGTATGTAAATTAGAAAAAAGAGTTTTACATTTTTTCAAATTTTTAAAATGGAAAATGAAAACCTCAGGTTGTGTTTAGTTACGGAAAAATAATTTTCATTTTTCGTTTTTTGTTTTCCCTTTTTCGATTTTTGTTTTTCGTTTTCATTTTTCATTGAAAAATTTATAAAACACGTTTAGTTAAACTTATTTATTTTTCATTTTCATTTTTAGATAATTGGGAAAAACGTGTTTAAATGTGTATTTTTCTATCGGTTTTCATTTTTAGAAATCGGTAGCGGTGGTGGGGTATGAGTAGGGGTGGTGACGGTAGCGAGTCGGCGGCCGTAGTGGTGATGACAGGCAATGGTGGTGGCGGCGGCAATTGTGTCAGTGGTGGTGATGGCGGCGGCAGCGATAGTGGTGGTGCTAGTGACGGGTTAGTTGTGGTGGTAGTGGTGATGGTAGGTCGGTGATTGTCGTGGTGGTGTTGGGTGGGTGGGAGGTGCGAGTGTGTGCTTGTGTGTGTGCATGTGTATGTTTGTGGGGGTAGGTGTAGATTTGTGTGTATGTCTGTGAGGGTGGGGGTGGGGGTAGGTGTGGGTTTGTGTGTATGTGTGTGTGTGTGGGTGGGTGTGTGTGTTTGTGGGTAGGTATGTGTGTGGGTGTGTGAGTGTGTTTGTGTGTGGGGGGGTGGGTGCGTTCGTGGGTATGTATGTGTGTGTGTGTTTGTGGGTGGGTATGTATATGTATGTGGGTTGGTGTGTGTGTGTGTGTGTGCGCACGCGGGTGGGTGTGTGTTGGTGTGTGTGTGTGTGTGTGTTTGTGTGTATGTAAGGAGGTGTTAAGATAGGGGTAAGTAGAGGTGGAGTGGGTGTGTATTTATATTTTAGAAAAATTTTGGAATTATAAAAATGTGGAAAATTTTAATTATTAGTTTTCCAAAAATTTCCAACTTCTTTGTAATTTTAGAAAACGGAAAAATTTTCATTTTCTGTGAAAAAATTAGAAAAATAGACGAACTAAATGCGTTTTCAAATTTCTCATTTTTCTTGGAAATTTTTTCCGGAAAACAATCCATTTTTCCGCAACTAAACGCACCCTCACTGTTTCCAACCAAACACATTTTCTAAAATTTTCATTGAAAACTAAAAATGAAAACTCAACTCTATTTTCTGAAAACATTTTCTTAAAAAATGAAAACAATTTTTCACAACAAAAAACACTCATGGTGCATTTGGTTGGGGAAATATGGGTCGTTTTCAGAATAAAAAATTCCAAGAAAAATATAAATTTTGAAAATGAGTTTAGTTCATCTATTTTTCTAAATTATTCATAGAAAATGAAAATTTTCCGTTTCTAAAATTACAAGATATTG